GAAGTTTTTAAGGATGGCAGCCCAGACTTCAACCCCAGAACAACAACAAAATTTATTTCCAGCTGAATTAAAATATATGAAAATCCTAAATAAACCAATAATGAATCAATGAAATCAAAGATGTAATTAAAAACCTACCAATAAAGAAAAGCCCAGGCCCTGATAGATTTCTGAATTCTACAAGAAATTTAGAGAAGAGCTACTTCTCAAACTCTTTAATGAAACTGAAAGGGAAATAACACTCCCGATTCATTCCTGGAAGCAAGCATTACCCTAATACCAAAAGCAGTGAAGGACCCAACTAGGAAAGAGAATTAGGAAAGAGAATTATAGGCCAATCTTCCTAATGAACGTAGACGCAAAAATCCTCAATAAGATACTGGCAAAGAATGTAGCAAATCATCAAGAAGATCATATACCATTATCAAGTAGGATTCATCCAAGTGATAAAGGGATGGTTCAACATACACAAATCAATAAATATAATACACCATATTAACACAGCCAAGAATAAAAATCATATGATCATCTCAACAGATACAAAAAATGCATTTGACAAAGTCCAGCACCCTTTCATGGTAAAAGCCCTATAGAAAACTGGAACAGACTGTCTTTATCTCAATCTGATAAAAGTCATCTATGACAAATCAATAGCTAAAATCATATTAGGTGGGCAAAAACTGAAAGCCTTCTTTCTAAAATCAGGAACAAGACAAGGATATCCACTGTATTCAATCTTACTCAACGCAGTGCTGAAAACTTTAGCCAGAGCAATTAGACATAAAAAAAAGGAATAATGATAAGAAAAGAAGAAGTTAAATTATCATTATTTGCTGATGACATGATACTTCACATAGAAGACCCAAAAAACTCAATTTAAAAACTGCTAGATTTAATAAACAACTTCAGTAGTGTAGCAGGACATAACCCTCAAAAATTAATAGCTTTCCTGCACGTGAATAATAAACTCACTGAGAGAAAAATTAGAGAAATACCTTTCACAATAGCATCCACAAAAATGAAATACACTTAGGAATCAATCAAAGGAAGTAAAAGACCTCTACATTGAAAACTATAGTACTGTGAAAAGGGAGATGGAAAAAGATACCAGAAAATGAAAGATACCCATTGCTCTTGGGTGGGAAGAACCAATACAGTGAAATGGGCACACTTCCAAAACTACTACACAGATCTAATGTTATTCTGATTAAAATTCCAATAGCATATCTCAGAAGATTAGAGAAAGCAATCTTAAAATTCCTTTGGGTACAGAAGAGACCTAGCATGGCAAAGGCAATTCTGGGCCACAAAAGCAAAGCAGGGGATCACAATCCCTTACTTGAAATTATACGATAAAGCTACTGTAACAAAGACAACATGGAATTGGTATACAAAAAAAAACCAGACCTGAGAATGAATAGAACAGATTAGAAGATGCAGAAATAATTCCAGACATAGGCAGCAATCTTACCTTTGACAAAGGTGCCAAAGACATGCATTAGAAGATAACCTCCTGCAGGAGAAACTAGCTCTGCCTATGCCAAAGTTAAAATTGGACCCATATCTGTCACCATGTACTAAACTAAATTTAAAATGTGTTAAGACCTAAAAATTAAAATAGAAACATTAAATGTCCTGGAGAATAGGTAAAACTCCTTAAGATATTGGCATAGGCAAAAACTTTATGAATAACACCTCAATTGCACAGGTACTATCATAACGAATCAACAACATGGATCTTATTAAAAAGCTTTGCAGAGCAGGAGAAACCACCAATAGAGTGAAGAAACAACCCACAAGGTGGGAAAAAAAATGTTTTCCAGCTGTTCCTCAGACAAAGGATTACTACTGAGAATATATGAAGGACTCAAAAAAATCAGACCTCCCAAATTTAAAGACCCATTCCAAAAATGGTATCTAAGATGAATATATACCTCAGATGAAGAAATACAAAGAACAAATAAATAGATGAAAAATGTTCAGTACGACTGGTTATTTTAGAAAGGCAAATGAAAACAACATTAAGATTCCATCTCACCCCAATAAGAATAGCTATCATCAAAAAATCAACCAATAACTAATGCAGGAGGGGCTGTGGGGAAAAAACTGCCTTCTCTACCATTGGTGCATGTAGAATGGTGCAACCCCTGTGCAAATCAGTATAGCAAGCCTCAAAACCTAGGATTGAGGGCCGGCGAGATAGCTCATCGGACTAAGTGCCTGCTTAGACAAGCACAGAGATCAGGGTTCAATCCCTGGCACCACATGCTGCATTGGTCCCACCCCCGGGTGTGCTGAGACGGTGACTGAGTCCAGGCGTAGTGATGCGCACCTGTAATCCCAGCACTGGGTAAGCTGAAAACAGGAAGATCACTACAAGTTTGAATTCGGTAGTGAGACCCTGCACACACACACAAACACACACACACATATACACACACACACACAAAACTAGGGTAGGACTGGAGGTGCTATTTGACCCAGCTGGTTGTATTCCCAGAAGAATTAAAAACATAGCAGCACAGCAATAAATGTGCACCCATATTCACAACAGTACAATTTGTAATAGTTAGATCTTGGAAACAATTAATGTCCATCAACCAAGGAATGGATGTTTAAAAGGAGTACTACTCAGCCATAAAGAAGGATAAACTTGGGGACTTTTATAGGTAAATGAATGCAACTGGGCATCTTATTCATAAGTGCAATAAACCACACATGAAAATATCATATGTCTCCCTAGGGAGAGAAGCTAAAAGAGTAAGATAAAAAATGTACAACAGATGTTATAAAATGGAAAGGAACTTCAAAAAGAAATAAAAACTGGGATGGAAGAATGGAGAAAAGAAAAAAGGGAAAAGCAAAAAAAAAACATATTTAAGATAGTTATATTTCTCTTAGTTTGTTGAAACAAAAGGCTTGTATTAATATAGTTCAGATAATTAAATGCTGATATCCTATATGCTGAATAACTAAAATAACAATACAGAATGCATTAAACATTGTTATCATCCTATTATCTTGTTTTGAAATGTTGTTCTATTTTTTCTCTAAAAAACAATTTCCTTTCAAATTTTATAATTAAGCATATTTTCTCTCACTGTGCGGAAGGCTTTTAAGTTATCTACTTGATGAAAAGCTTGACAATTGAATATTTTAAGAAAAGCTTTGACAAAAGAGCATCACATTATGGTGAATATGTGCCTGTGAAAAATATAAAATTAAATAACAATACTAAAGTAGCTTCCTACATAAATTTTCCAAAAAGCATTAGCTAATATATAGAAAGCAATCTAAATTATGGACCTATCAGATTTTCTTATTATGATATTAAAAATAAAATCTGCGTAGTGAACTACAGATAAAATCAATTTAAAAGATGGTGATTAAGATAAGATGAAATCATTTAGATTGTATTTTGGTGATGATTTAATTCACTCTGAACAACAGCTCATAACTTGTTTAAAATTTTAAAATGCTATGAACAGTAACCACAACAAATGACAGCATGGCAATGAACAATGCTGTACAATGAAGATCATTCATCTGTGTAAAATCATCAATCTTTTTCAATACTCTAATTATAAAGACCTACGAAGGAAAAAAGTATTGTCATTTTTCCATCAGAAAGACAATGCAAAACTTTGTTTAACTTACTCTTCCCAATACATGAAAAATTTGAAATTTTTGTATGTGAAACTGATCTAGTAAATTTTAAAATATAAACGCTTATTTTGAATAACATTTTAAATTTAATATGCTCTCATAATCTGAATAACTTCAAAATCTTTTTTAGTAAATTAATATCAAAACCAAATCAAGTAGAATACTTCTATATTCTATTATTTAGCAAACAGTTCTCTAAACATATCATTTAAGTAACATGTAAAATCAGTTGTAAGCAGCCCTTAAACTTAAATGTCAAAATAAACTACTGCCACAGTAGGATTCAACTTTTTTTTTTTTTGGTGGTACCAGGGATTAAACTCAGAACCTTGCACTTGCCAGGCAAGCACTTATTCCACTGTGCTATCTCCCTGGCCCTCAACTTTTAAATTATAAATCTCAAATTGATAGTAATGAATGGGTCATTGCTAAAAGTATAAACTGAAGCCCAATAGGCTGTGGGATTTCTAAAGCTAGGTTTGAAGGAAACTAGTGTCTCAGACAAACTGAGAATTCAGTTGCATTTCCCTTCCTCCTTCATTAAGAATGATCTTTCTTTGCTGAGATGATTCAGGATAAGTACCCTAAGCAATCTCAGCAATAGTAAGCTTTTTTGAGCTTTCATTGATAGAAATAACTTGCTACAGCAATTTGCCACCACTGATTCTATTAACAAAGAGGGCTGTACTAGCAAGAATTAGGAGGAACAATATCCTGTCACTGTCCATGGTTCATTACCAAATAAACTAACCTTATAAAACAAAAAAGAGAAAAACGAATTTACCATTTCACTCAATTCCCTACCATTTTAAATTACTTCACAATGTTGGATCTCAAGTGAAAGTGTCCAAAGTCACCTGGAGAAATTGTAAGACTGCCAGATCTCATTCTCAGAGATGCTGTGTCAGCTGAATTACACCACCTATATTTCTCATGATTCCCAAGTAATATTGGTAATGTGGGAACACACTCTTTGTAGGCTGAAGGAAACACACCCTTTACATACTATCACTTTAAACAAATCCATATTATGGATGTACAATTTAGTCACTTTTCTGTTGTTGACAAATGTTTCCTATGATATCATGCGTACTGTTCTACCAAACACCTTTGTACATTATTAGAAACAATCTGTACACATTTTAAGGTTCTCCATACCGATTTGCAACCAAATTCCTAAAACATTGCTTCCAAATTACACTTTGTGCAGCAGGCATATTAAATGATGTTCCAGTCCCTCCAATTATTATTATTATTATTATTATTAGGATTAGAAAGCTAAAAACCTAGGCTCAAAAACCCAATTTTCCAGCATACTTAAATATTAAACTTACTTCAGCAAATCGGTGGTTTCCTGCTCACTGTCTTGTGTTATATCCAAAGTAAAGGTATCTGAGAATGCATCTGAGTTGGCCTCTTGTTCTTCCATTGGAAGTACCTGGATTCCTAGTGAGCCACTGAAAATCTCCTTCTCTTTTTTGTTATCTTCCACATGACTGTCACAATGTGTCTGTGAATCTTGTTCAGTTTTATCATGGTCATCTCTGAAAGAAGACTGCTTGACTTCACCAAGAGACGATTTTCCCGAGATACTGAACAAGTTACCAAGAAAGTGAAAAAAGCCTTCTTTTGGTTGTCTGTCACTTTCTCCTGCTTTGCTATCTGAAGTAGAACTGCAAAGGTCATTTGGCTTTTTGGGATCTTCCACTGTTGAAAGAGAGATGAGCTTCTCAAGATGGTTTCTTTTGTCCTCACACTGCGGAATCTAAATAATAATAATAATAGTCATCATCATCATCACCATCATTTACAAATAGCGGGCTGAGGATATAGCTCAGTGGTCAAAGAGCCTGCCTGACAAACGCAGGGTCCCCAATTCAATCCCCAGTACCGAAACAATACATACACACATATATACATACATAAATGCAAGCTACATCATTTAAAAATAATATAGACGGACTGACAGATTATTAGATGATAGACGCTTTGCTGAACACCAGGGAAACATTCGTGAACCAGACTGATGGCTTGTGTTACTTTGTGTGGCTCATAATCCAGTGTGAATAGTCATTGTGACTTGAACAAAGCTGTACAGAGAATGCTTCAAAGGGGGGGAAAAAAAAAAAAAGCATTGCACAAACAGGCACCCAGAGCAAAAGTAATTGCCCACAGTGGATGGAGGTGACGACAGATGAGGTAAATGGGGGACGCTTCCTAGAGGAAGTGTACCCTTTGAAGGGGACCTAAAATGTGACTATGTAAAGTGTGTGTGTGTGTGTGTGTGTGTGTGTGTGTGTGTGTATTTATTGTGATTGGAAATTAGGGTACAATGTGAAGAGAGGTAGTAAGCACAGACAAGTGAAAAGATAGATCATGTTTATTTAAATTTATCCTTTACTCCTGTAGAGCTAATGGGTAATATTTTAAACAAATCATGCCTAAACAGACTAACTCATCATTGCCCAGCTGGGTTGCTGGGTTTTTTTTGGCAGAACTGGGGACTCAGGTCCTTGTGCTTGCCAGGGAAATGCTTATTCTACTGAACTCTCTCCCAGCCCCTAGCTATCTTCCCGGACCCTGGGTTGCTGGGTTTAAACATGCAATCTCCCCTGCCTCAACCTCCCAAAGTGCTGAGCCACACAAAGTAACACAAGCCATCAGTCTGGTTCACAATTGTGCCACCATGCTCAGATCAGACCTCATCATTTCTATGTGTTAATCCACAAAATTGTCATACTATTTAAAAGTGCTCCTTACAAAAATGAAGAAATATAGTAACATGGTGTTACAATTCTAAGAAAAGCTCAATTAAACCCCTTCATGGTAAAACATGAAGTCCTGACATGTTAAAATGAAATATGCATATTCTTTGCAGACATTATACATTGGGAAAGGTACATCTGACCTGCCCATAATTAAGTTACAGGTAAAGCTAATACATTCATGTCTATTTTACAAGAGGAAAAATTAAGCTGCTACAACAAAGAGCATGATGGCATCTCATCTCATGCTTGGCTAAGATTGCAAAAAGCTTTAGGCCAATGTGCCAACTCACCCTGCCTTCCAAACATGTTAGCTCACATACCTACAAATGGAATGCACACCCAACAGTATCTGTCACCTGCCATCGTGAGTCCTTACAAAAGAGAGGCTTAGGAGTAAGAAACAAAAACACAGCAAGGTAAAACGCCCTTAGGGTACTGTAGGTTCACGAGACAAAATGTTTTAAGAAGCTGATCACCAAGAAAGCAAGAGCATCATAATTATAATGTCATTTGTTCACCTCAGTCTATACTTTAATCCATATTCAAAACAGATTAAAGGAGCATTCCACTAACCACTAATCAAATTTAGCACATGAAAGGCTGAGCAAATGTTCAGAACTTCCTAACAAGCAAACTGATTTTAAGTAAGCAATATTATCAGTTTGTTACTTGCCTTACGTGTATGACTGAGTAAATAACATTTTTCTACATTAGGATTGTAACATAATTTGTAAGGCTCTGCATTTGAAATATTCCCAGCCTCTTAGAAGTTTCACCTTTTCTAGGCTTTGACTGCAATTTGATTCCACTTGTTCCACCTCACCCACCCAACCTTTTCACAGAGACAGCCAGCACCTTAAGCCCCAGGAGGCCTCTCGATTCATAGCATAAACTGCCTCTCAGTTTGGCAGAAGACACATCAGCTAACAGACTGAAAGTGTTCAGATGTATGAAAAACACACTTTGTTCTTGTGACACTTCCTTTTTTTTTTTGAGACAAGGTCTCCCTATGTAGTATAGGCTGCCCTTGACCTCACAGTGATCCTTCTGCCTCGGCCTCTCAGGAGGTAGGATTACTCAAATGCACCACCACGCCTGGCTTAATCCATTTATTTTTGCTCTAACTTCTAACCCTGATATTTCTGTCTGGGTAGAAATGAACACTATGAAGTGAATAAAATCTTAATTCATTCTATAACTAAGACAAATGACTTCATTCTGTCCAACAACAGATTTCCTGTCACAAATAGTATTTATTTTACTGACTCAACTATTATTTTTACTTGACAATTTCTTTCACAGCATAATTCTTTGCTCTCCAAATGAGGATGATACATACATCTTGTACAACTAATGAAAATCTTCACATTTAAATTTCTTAGTTATAAATAATTTTTTAAAATCTTTGTTTTTCTTATCTTACCTCTCTTTCAGCTTTTTGCTGTTCTAGAATCCATACTATAAATCTGACAAAGATTATTTTTTACTATCTTCAAATATTTCAGCTGCCTAATTTTACCTTCATAATCTTAGAAAACATTTTTCTCAGGAATTAAAATATTATCAACAAGAAAAGAAAAATTGTTTCTAAGTTTAGACATAAAAATGAGCAGAATGGTACTATTGAATATTACCTAGAGTAAAATTTGTATTTATACAATTAAATTCTAATTTTGATCTAAAACAGATGGTCTTTGTGTTTAGTCTAGACAACAATGGAGTACAGCCTGCCACAGGCCTTCACTAGATGGCTCCCATGTCAACTTGCCAACCACTGTCTAAGGAGTCAGCCAACCATTGTTCTAGGGAGTCAGCATTCAGGATTCATGTAAACACAAACAAAATATGGGTTACAGCTTCTCTCAGGGATGTTAGTATTCTGCCTGAATGCTACTGATGAAAGAATGTGTGTCTTGAGAATTTTTACTGTTTTGACTTCATACTGAGTATGTTGTAATGAAGTACCCATTGTCCATACTTAAATTTTCTATCTGCCTAACCTAGGAAAATAAAAGAAAGCTCTAGGTACACTGATTAATAATACTTTATTCTAGCCTTCAGGAGGATTACAGCCTTTTATGCTATCATTCTATCACTATGTAGAGTTTGGAAGAGGTGTTTACACAATAAAAGACATAACCTACTCAACTGGGGATGGGAACAAACCACTGCATAAAGGAGGTGACATCTGAACCTCCAGAACATTCTAGAGTATAACATGCTCTAGTAAGTATAACATGCCCAGGCACAAAAGTCTGAAGTGTGTTTACCATGAAAAGGTGCAGAGAGAGTTGACAAAAGTACAGGACAAGAAGTCAGAAGTAGAGGGTGAGGGAAAACAGTCACAGATGACTGGGTTTACTACATTTGGCATTGGAATAGTTAATCCAAAAAATGGAAATGTAAAGCGCCAGCCAAATAGCTCAGAGGATTGAGACACCTCCAAGCAGGGACCAGGGGTTTGATCCTGGGGCCTGCCTTGTTGGCCCAGGCCCTGCAGCACGCTGAGACAGCAATTGAGACTGGGTGTGGTGGTGTGCACCTGTAATCCCAGCTCTTGGGAGGCTGTAAAAACAGACGGATCACTAGGAGTACGATCTAATAGTGAGACCCTGTACACCCTGTAGACCCTTCCCTAAAATACAATTTTTTAAAAATGGAAATGGAAAACACAAATTAGAAAATTAGGGCTTTTGGAGGAGTGGATTCAGAGCAATAAACTTAGATTGCTGAACATATTAAATTTTGGTCTCATGCTGATCAGTGATAAACCAAAGTAAAAGAATGCAACTAGCAATACATTGAGAAAAGAGTTTAACAATGAAAGAGCCCTTTTTAAAGAAAAAAGACTGAAAGGGAGGCATTTAAAAAAAGCACAGAAAAGAGAGAGAGAGAGAGAGAGAGAGAGAGAGAGAGAGAGAGAGAGAGAGAGAGAGAGAGAGAGAGAGAGAGAGAGGCAGGCAGGGAAGGAGGGAGGGAAGGAGAGAGAGAGAGAGCGCACAAGCATGCACCAAAAGCAGGTCCTTCCAGTATATGGACCTTCCAAAATATTGGTCTCCAATGGTGAAGGAAAAAGAATACTTGCAAATGGAGAGGGGAATGAAAGATGCCAAATGCCACTACCAGGTCAAAAAAGTGGACAGCTATCTTCCTCAAGGATCTTCAAACACATTAGGCGCACTCCAACCTCAGGAATTTTGCATTTACTTTTCCTTCAGCTCAGAATGTTCTTCCCCAGATAGAGTTAAGACTCCCACTTCACCTCCTTTGGACCTCATTTAAGGTTCCCTCCTTCACTACCTAAATTAGCAGTTTCCTTTACTTTAAAATTGTCTATGCCTCTCCTGTTTAATTTGTTTTCTCTTGCACTTGCTGGTAAACATACACACACATCACTTAACATCTTTTTTTCTTTCTTTTTTCTTGAGAAAATAAATTTCAAAAAGGTAGTAAAGTTGTGTTTTACTCACTGGAGTACTTGTAGCACACCGAAATGTGCTTGAGAAGAAGAGGTATTTAAGTATTTATTAGAGTAACTACAGGGATGAGGACTGTAGAAAATCACTAGGACAATATGAGACATAACCACTGTCTTACTTACTTTACACTTGTTGCTGGGACATAATAACTGATACCCAAAACTAAGGAAGGAAAGGTTTATTTAGCTCACAGTTAGTGGAGGTTTTAATTCATACTTAGCTGGCTCCCAGGCAGAGTGGTACAAGGCAGAGGGCAGCTATTCATGGCAGCAGAAAGCAGCAAAGAGCAAAGGGAGGAGCAGCAGCTGCTGGCCGAGAGCAAGCCCCTCTCCCTTCCTTATATTGCATGCAGATTACCCACCCCAGAGTGGGTGTAGCACTCACATACATAATCCTGCATTGGATCATGAATTAATCACATGCTCTAGAAGCTGTCCCAATGACTGCATGAGGATTTGGAGGGACAACTAGATGCAAGCCATAATAATCACAATCCACAAATTCATGAA